GTTTTATTCTTGATAGGTAAATCAGACAACTAACAACTTTTTCTCAGTACAGAATCTCTGGCCTAAAAACTGCAACTACCAGTCTTTAAATAAATTTGAAAAGATCATCGTCAATTATCAACATATAATTATGAAATATACTAATTAATTGTCTGTTTTCTTTATAGAGCAAACTACCCAAATTAAAATGTTTCTCATTGATCTCGTATTTTCAAACATATGCTTATGACAAACGAATTGTTCCACTACTTCGTCGAATGTTAAATCTCGAAGAATTGGCATTACTTATCGGAATAGTAAGAATTAAATTGCCTTATATCGATGGTACTCATTTATACAATGATTTTCTTGTTCAAATGCCACGGCTAAACATATTTACATTCAGTATAAACACTCTTGTTTATGATAAAGGTGTTAAAATTGATCTTCCATCGAATGATGATATTCAAAATAGTTTTATCAAAATAGGATATCAACATGTGGATTCATATGCCCATGTTATGAAAAATGAAGCCAGGTGCCATGTATATTCACTTCCATATCAATTCGATACTTTTTTACATCTCACCAACTCATTTCGTCATGGTAATTTCTATAAAGTTCGATTTCTAGTTATGAATGACGCACATTCATTTGAACATGAATTTTTTAAAATAATCTCTCAAGATTTTCCTTTTCTGCAACGATTAAGTGTGTATAATTTTGAACCACAAAAGAACAAGCAATATTCATCTACATTGATTACGTTTGCTCAAGTGTCCGAGCTGAATATTGCGTTCGCACATATTGATTATGCTGAAGAATTTCTCTTGGAAACAAACATTCGTTTACCTCGATTAATATTTCTTGGTATCAAATATGAACCATTAGCAATGGTAACAAATAATTTTACGAATGATGCAACACGTTTCACTTGTAGTCGATTGCAATACATGAAAATACCTGAACCATTTGTTCGTCCAGAGAATTTTCATTCATACTTTCCTTTATTGTAGATATTAGTTTTCTTGAAAAATTTGTTTTATTTAAATAAAGACTTAGAAAAAGCTACATATATGGTAATTATGAATATTTATAATTTACTCTAATAATCAATGATTGTTAACTTTTTGTATGATTGCTAAAGATGGATGGAACTAGCTTTGGTGTGGTCTATGAAATGAGACAAGGACTAAAATTGAAAATTTACAAAGTTTGAGCAGACGCCTATCCGATAATTTTTTTTTGAAACGATCCTTATGAAAAAATATATTGTTGGCTTGTGAAAACTAATTAATTCACACTTCACTTCTAAATATTTCTATCTTTTCGAGAAGATCGATATCACATCAATGCTCATTGTGAATATGCCTATGGATTTGAGATCAAAGTTCATAATTGTCTTATTGTTTATGAGTGAGTTACCTTATGCATGATGCCGATTCACAGATAACTCAGAAAAGAAGATCGTGCAATATAATATGCAATATTTGAATGAATTTAACGAAAGCTTAAGAACTTACAGATTTTTTTGTATACATATTTAAACATAATTTTCTCTGAATCAATACAAAGGTCAGGACCGAAACTAAGTCAACAAAAAGATGAAATGATCGAAACTAAAAGGAAGCTATTGAAACAACATTGAAAGATAAAATNCTCCTTTGCTAATCATAAAAAAAATTCACTCTTATGCTTAACAATAGACAATTTCAAGATCTACAAAACTGTTGACTTAATTTCTCAAACAGCTTTCTTTTGTTGAAAAAAAAAACTATCGAAGGAGAATATCTACTTTATCGTCAAACTGAGAGGATAAAGAAAACAAAAAAGAAACTGATGACAGTTTCCTAATAAAGATTCAATATTTTAAACAAACAGTTTCGAAGTAAAAAACGCGGCAGCATTTGAAAAAATTCTTTTTCTGGTAGACTTATGTGATTGTTATGTTCAAATTTGAAACACCTTAAATGGTTTCACGATTCAATTTGACAGTTATATAGGTTTATTCAGAACTAAATTCTATATCTGGCAGTATGATAATAAATATTTTACAGAGCAAGTTTGACTTTTAAGAACATGACTTTCCAAAGTAGACTAAAAATAGCAACAGTTGTATGTTTGTAGTCTTTTTCTCGTAAACACAAGTCTTGGAAACCTTGAAACGATCATTGAAGCATAAAGCACAAAATTGTCTATCGATGATTTACTTTTGCCATTGGCTTTTATCAATAAAAGCTTTTCACAATTCAATACATGTCAGCAGAGAATAGGAAATCTCAGTAAAATGCCCGAGTAGACATAAATCTTTTAAATTTGACGCCGACAAGGTTAAACTCATTTGAAAAACAAAGTTGACAGTTTGAAATTCTATTTCTTTTGGCATATAAAACAAAATTTCTTAGACTTAGAAAGTAAGAGAAAAAAGAAACTGAGCTATATCATTTGTAAAAGTCGAAATGTGATTTTTCTTTTTTGTTTTGGTCATTTCCTATATGAAAAAGGGACAGAAAGAACTTTTATGCTTTTCTTAAAATTGATCTAGTTGCTCTATTCACCATGTATAATTAAAAGAAACCTTTATTTTAGGGTTCTCACTGCTGAAAAAACTAATTTTTGAATTTTCTAGAGCTCTTGTATTTCAATACTACTGTGAGGATTTTTTTCTCTTATATCTTTGTCAGAAACAAACTTCTGTATGGAAATTACTATATGAATTCGTAATACGAGTTACTATTACAGAAACGAAATTGAAATTAAATCTGTATAATTAATTTTTAAAATTACAGTATATCGTTTATACAGTGTTAATTGTTTTTCAGAGACTCGAAAACGTCAAGACAAAGATGAAGAAGACGAAGACGAAGAAGAACGAAGAGATGATATTAATAATGTTGAGAATGCTTCAGATGAAGGTATTGATGATGCAGGTAGTGATTCAGGTGCGGCACCAAATGATTATCTTATTTCAACTGTATCAAAAAGTGATCTTGAGCTGATGAGTATGTTGTTTTATCTTGGAAATTTTAAATTTTATCTTCTTCTTCGTTTTTTCCTAATCAAAAGAAAACCATTGTGATAGTGATAATGATTCTGTATCATTAAGTGGATTTATTGCTAATGGTGTTGAACAACTTAAATTAATTTTAACAAATAATAACAAAAATCTATCAAATGAAGATGAAAAAACAAAGTATTTTATATAATTTTTGTTTTCATAATTAAAACACTTTTTAAAATGAATTTTTAAATTTAAAGATTTGATTTAATTCATAAAGAATTTATTTCATTAACACGTGAACTTGAAAAATTCATTGGTGCTTATGTTAATGTGATGTTTTCAAAGACAAAACGTACATATGAAGGTTTATCTATTTTAGCAAGTTTTGAACCTGTTTGTGAACGAAATTACCTTCGTTCAATTCTTCGTGATGCTTATGTTAATTTATTTCTTAGTAAATTTTAATAATATATATAAAATAAAAAACAATTTTTCTACAATTTTTTTTTCTATTAAGATTTTGAGAATGATTTATTGGATATTCGAACAACATTTGAAGCACATAAAGATGATCCACCATTACCTCGAAATGCTCCACCTGTACCAGGTAAAATTTTAATTGAAAAATTTATTTTTGTTTTTGAGAAAAAAACATTTCTTTTAAGGTGCTATTGCTTGGTCACGTACATTATTAACAAAAATTGAACAGGCAATGGATGTATTTAAATTAAATCGACATATTGTTACATTAGGAAATTTTCCAATAATATCAAAACTTTATAATCGTACAGCTAAAGCATTGCTTGTTTATGAACAATTATTATTAATACGATGGAAAGAAAAAATTGATGCATGGAAAGATCATTTAAATGCTAATTTATTATGTTTAGTCAATGATCCTGAAGAAAATAATAAACGAATAGAAATTAATTCAAATATTGAATTATTTTCTATATTTGATGAAGTTAAATGGTTTAAACGGCTTGATGTAGATATTCCTAAAGCAGCACTTGTCTGCATGCAAAAGGTATTTATTTAGTTAATAATTAAACTTAATTATATTCAATGACTTTCAAAAAAATTTATATGAACAAAAGAAATAGATATGAGATCAATTCAGTTCAAAAAGAAGTCACGAATCGATCTCATCTCTGTAAAGAACTATTCCTGATGATAAATTATGTTTTAGATACAATTTAATTCATTAACTAAGACTAATTAAAATTAGGTTCAGTATGAAATGACTCATAGATAGATCTTAATCCATAAAATAAAGTTAGAAACGAGTCGTTCTAGATTTTTGTCTAAACTTAATAGATCTCACTTTGCATAGTAAGTTTTATATCAAAAGTGATTAGTCATCTAGAATAATGTCCTCCTTATATTTCAACCAAAGATAATATATTTCTTTTTTACCACAAAACAATACTCGAATTTGTTTATAATCCAATTAGAAAATAATTCCTCATCTCTGTAAAACTACAATAATTGTCTAATGGAATACGATGTAATAATTATTATCTTTTTGATAAATAAATATTAATTTTCTTCGTAAAATACTTTCAAAGAATTGTTATACAAGTAGATGTACAGAATATAGTTGTGTGCATCAGCACGCTTTGGGGAAAATTTATTTAGTTTCATTTGGAAATTTGAATAAACAAAATGATTTTTTTTTGTAACAATTAGAGTATAAGCTATGAACACAGCTTATGGGTTTTATATATTAATAAAAATCTATCAAAACGGCTTCTTGTTTGGTTTAACTATACAATCAATTACCTTTTTGGAATAATAACTGCTTTTATTAATTGATGATTATTAAGGACTAATTTTTTTTTTGGTTAAGTAAATCGCTTTCTTCGGATGTGCAAATGAAAAAGAGAATTTGGCTTTTTCTGTATTCTAATTGCAGGAAAAAGTTTTTTCGAAATATTCGTTTCCATTTGTGGAAATATTTAATTTTAGTGGCACACAATAGACAATTTCTATAAAGCATGTGGATATGGCTTATTTTCGACTCAAAACGATTTTTTTTTTATAGAAGTATTAATTTTCTAGAACTCAACAAAAAAAAGTGATGGGAAAAAATTAAAATTCATAAAAGAAGATTTTCGATGTCAATAACATGAGGGGGAAAATTATCGTAAACTTTTCTCGGACAAAATTATATTTTAAAAACTAACAAATGGCACATCATTCAATGCATTTTTTGTGCTAATTCTGGATATGTCCTTATTTTTCTCTTAAAGTGCTTCCGAGGCAAAAAAAAGAAGAGTAAAGCCTATTAAATACGACCTTTTAGAAAACTCTTAGCTAAGGAAGCGTAAATACTTTTTCGAACAGGAAAACTATTAGAACAATGTTTTTCATATAGGACGATAGAGCAAGAGTTCTAATTTTAGAAGCCGCATGACTTACTTCATAGGTCTTTCTACTTTCTTTGGAAAAAGGACACTTCTCTCTAACATGATAGAAAGCTAGTCATTGTTTTTTTGGATCAAGAATTTTTCCAAATCCTTAAAGAGTTAGAATAATTTTTTTTAAACCCAAAAGTCTTTCACTGGTAAATGTATATTGAACATTCTTCAAATTGTAAATTATATTTTTACGAAATTGCACGTTGTTACCCATTGTGCGGTGCATTCTGTATCTCTACATGAAAGTTTACTCTGTTATAAATGAAAAACTTGTGTTTACCGATTTAATCAACATGATCAATTTTTTAAATTGATTTAAATCAGTAAAAATAATATTTACATTCATCGTACAATAGAGTGAGAAGTAAAAATTGACATATTTCTTTTTAAATATCATAGGAACAAACATTTAAACATTACAAATCTTTACTCGACGATCTTCTTACACGTTTTCGTTATTTACAATCTCGAATTTATCCACCATTTTATCCTTTATTTACAAGTTATTTATCACAAGTTTATCGAGCATTTGAACCCGGTATACATACATTAACATGGTCAAGTCTTAATATTGATGCATATATTGCTAAAGTTCATCGTGCACTTGATCGTTTTGAAACATCAATTTCAAATATAAATACATTAATAGCAGAAAAAATTGATGATATACTTAATAATGAATTAATGAATTCATCATGTCTTTTGCTTTCAATTGATTATATTCGTTCAAAATTATGGACACCAACAGAATTTCTTGAAAATATGCGTTCACATTTAAATGAACAATCAACATTAATTGGTGAAAAATTACATCAAATTCAACAAACATTTCAAGAAGTTGAAGATATGTTAAAATTAAATCCAACTGGACAAAAATCACGTTCATCAACATCATCAACACGAAGAGCAAAAACAGCAACACCGGCTGTTACAAATGAAGCCATGATAGAATTTATTAGATATTATCATGATAAAATGAATTATTGTGTACAAAAAATAATTGAACGAACTTTAGTAACTTTTATTGATTTAGTTTCAATTACAGAAACAAAATATTTAATTGATCAAACAAAATTAATTCGATTTTTATTTGAAGGACAAGATAATGATGAACAATTAAATATTGATACACAACGAATTAGGTATATTCATTTTATTTTATTATCAATAAAATATTTTCTATTGTCTTTTTAATATAGAATTAATTGTACAATGCAATATGCTATACCGGAAATAATTATTGATCCACAATTAAGTTTGTGTCAAAAATGTATTTGTGATGTTGCTCGTGCAATTATTGATTGTGAAAAACGAATAAGTGGTAAGAATATTTTAAGATAAAGATTTAGGAAAAAGACATTCATTTTTGACTTTTGACAAATCTCCTTTTCATATTAAGAAAATTTATCAAATCATTTAGATTTTTTTTGTATTTAAAGAGTATTCTATTCAATCTAAGTTTCATTAAGAGCAAGTTTTATTAAATTAATTGATTATTTAAATATGTATTTTTTTTTTTTAATGCAAAAGGATTGTTATCAATGTTCAATCTTTGAAGCAAGAAAGATACTTTTTACTACAGATAAAGGATTTTTCTATTTATTTCTATGTTTTTCATCAAAGAGTACGAACAATAAGTAATTTACAACATATATACACAACTATTTAAATGTGAAACCATAGTGACTTTGAGTATAAATGGGAAAAGAATAAATTTAAAAAGCTTAATCAATTTTGGTTAATCATACAAAAATTTGAAAATAATGACATATAAAAGAATATATTTTCATATTTAAAGACACTGTCTGCTAATGATACACGGGGTCAAAGATTTCTTGGATCACAGGTTAAAAATATCAAATAACGAATATCATATTTTAAATATATTTAAAACACTCGATGAAGTTCATGTGTTAGTACACCAATATCAAGTCTCAAAATGCCTGGATTACGGCGTAAGAGTGTAGCCGTGAGTCTTGTTTTCGTATTCAATCATACCCTCCTATAACCCATCCTTACATCCTTGTGCTTACTCAAAATATAATTAACTTAATTCTCAATTGTTTCATATTTTTTGTGTTCATTTCACATATAACTGATTTAGAGCTCAAAGCACATAGACAAAGGAAAGACGATTAATGCTAGTAGAAAGTAGAGAAACAAGTGATAGATCATCATTAAATATTTTTTTGCTATTATAAATTACTGCCAACTCTATGTAACTCAAACCGAACTAAAATTATCGGTAATTCAAAATTGAAACGGTCGACTATACTCTGATCGGTAATCTACTACCAGTATACCATCGGTTCTTATGGGTACCGCGGTATACCGACCGTAATGTGAACAAACTTGTAACATGGGACAATTTTCTTTTACTATAATTTGTCAAAAAAGACTATTTAGAAAACAACATAGATAATGGCATGATAAGAACAAACTCTATCGTATTTCATGTTTAGTTTTCTTCTGATAATTTTTCTGTTAATTATATGCTCATATATTGTTTAATATTTTTAAATAAAAAATCTTCTAGAAACTGCTGGTTTTGACAATGAAACCGCTCATCGTTTATCTTCAGCAATCGAATCCGATACTCATTTATCTAGTTTAATTGATCGTTTATCATCCATTGATAAAGATGTAACACGTATATCTCAAAGTGCTATACAATATATTCGTACATTTGATTTTCTTTGGCGTGATGATTCTCAATTACAGTATCAAACACTTATTCAACAAGATGAAAATGATGAAGATTATACAATAACAGTTGATCCAAATGCTATTCCATCACCAGATGTTCGTAAATATTTACAAAATGAACTTGAACGTCTTATACGAATTGAAGAACGTCTTAATATATTACCACATGAAATACAAATTGGTTGTATTTGTATCGAAACAATTCCAATTATAAATTCATTAAAAACATTTATATTTAGTTGGAAAACTCAATATGCTAAATTATTACATAGATTTGCTAAGTTTGAACTTGATCAAGTTGTTGCTTATCGACAACAAGTACAATTAAGATTTAATGATGATGTATCAACACTTGAACAATTAGATGAAGCTTTAATTTTATTAGAAGAATTAAGTGAAATGGAAAATAAAATTGAGTGAGATGAAAAAATAATTTTTTTGTTAATTTGAATTACTCTTGTTTTGCTTTTTTTTTCAAAATTTTAGTTCAATTTATTTACCAATCGAAACAACTTATACACATCTTGATGAAGTTTATAATATTCCAATTCCACGTGATGAACTTGAAGAATGTTCACAATTACGTGATAAATGGTCAGAATTAATGTTAAATGCTGATCGTGTACGAAGACAATTATTACAAGAACGTCGACAACAATTAGAACAAGAATTAGATAAACAAGTTAAATCATTTGTTGTTGAAGTTATTCGATTTCGAAATGCATTTGACGTTGAAGGACCTAATGTACCAGGTTTAGGACCATTAGAAGCAGCTAAACGTTTAAAAGATTTTCAAGGACAATATAAAATAATGCATCGACGTAAACAAACATTAAATTCCATATCAACATTATTTAGTTTACAACCAAAACAATTTCCTGAATTGGATAAAACAGGAGAAGTAAGTCTACACTGTTACATTTTTTCTTGTTAACTTTAAACAATAACATTAACAATTAAAAAAAAAAACAATCAAGACAATATAAAATAAAATATTTTTAGGAGAATATCAGTAACAGGTGAGAATAAAGAAAATAATAATGCATGCTTAGCTATGCTTGCTTTATCTATATATTCATTGATTTCGTCGATTATTCATTGAATCTTTTTGTTTTGATATTATCTATAATTGATTATTATTTATAGGAATTGGTATTACTCGATCAACTTTATATATTATATAAAAAATTCATTGCATTTGATACAACATTTCGTGCAACTCTTTGGTCTGAAGTTGATTTAAATCAAAGCAAAAATGAACTTAATCAACTTTGGACAGAATTTTGTGATTTACCATCGAAATTACAAGAACGTATTTGGACAGCTTATTTTGATTTAGAAGGTCATTTAAAAAAGTATCGTCAACTATTACCATTATTATTTATGTTAAATGCACGAGAAATTCGTAGTCGTCATTGGTTAAAAGTAATGCAAATAACAGGATGTTCATTTCAATTAGAATCAACTGTATTTAAATTACATGATTTATTAGATATATCATTAGATAAATATCAAAATGAAATTTCTGCTACTTGTTTTTCAGCACGAAAAGAACTTGAATTAGAAACAAAAATGCGTAGTATTGAAGAAGAATGGACTGAACAAATACTTAATTTTGAACCATATAAAGATTATGGTTTAATTTTATTAGAAAAACGTTATGTGGAAAATTTACTTGAACATTTAGAAGACGGTGAAGAAACGTAAGTTATTTTAATTAATTGTTGTTCTTTTTTGTCTTCACAAGAAAAAAAAATGATTATTTTAGACTCGCTCAAATGCTAACAACACGATATATTGAACCGATGCGTGAAGAAGTAGCATCATGGTCTGAAAAATTAAAAGCTATTAGGGAAATTCTTGAACTTTGGCTTGAAGTTCAAGATATGTGGTTAGGTGCTGAAAATATATTTAATAATCCATCAGCTGGAAAAGATATATCATTAGAATCTAAACGATTCGTACGTGTTGATAAAACATGGTTAAAAACTCAACGACAATCATCTGAAATTCGTAATGTTTTACAATGTTGTTTAAGTGAACCACCAAAAAAAGGTATATTAAAAGAAATGCATAAAGAATTAGAAATATGTAATAAATCAATATCATTATATTTGGATCGAAAACGTCAAATATTTCCACGACTTTGTTTTCTTACGAATCGTACATTAATATCATTATTAAGTCGACAAGATACGATTTATTATGTAAAACAACATTTTCAATCCATGTTTAACGGAATTCGTGATCTTAAATTATCTGTTTCAAATATTGATCAACCAAAAGTAGATGAAGAACGACGTGTAAGTTTTCTCTTAATAATCTATGTGATAACTTCCTGAGCCGCTTGTACTAGCCACAGAGAACCCAAGTCGGTCCCAGTTATAAGATAATTTTATATTGGAGATGGTGCTAAAAAAATTTTGTTAGCAAAATATATTCTGAAACTGTTTTCTTCTCGATTCATTGGAATTCTTTCTAAGAAATAACTCGAATTCAGGTAGAAAACACTTTCTGCAGTCGTTTATAACTTGAAGTGAAATTCATCAGCATTACCACTGGTTATTATGAGTATTGCGTTGTACAGGCATTGATGCGAACAAATGTATGACATAAGAGTTTTGATTAAAATTTGTATTCTTGGTGTTTTATTATTGTTGTTCTCTTTCATTAGGGTACAACTACAAGTGAATCTCGTTCTCATGCCGAATTTGTTGTTATAACTCAACAAGATATTATACAAGTACTGAGTGATGATGGTGAATGTATGTCATTATATCGTTCTATACCAATACAAAAATCTGTTGAACAATGGCTTAGTCGTTTACAAGAATCTGTTGCTGAAACAATACGAGCGGATATTTCTTCATGTATTAAAGATCTTGATAATGGTTTTCCATATGAAGAACTTGTTTCTAAAGTATCTTATGAATTGATAAAAAGAAAAATTTTTCTATAGTTTTTGTTTTTTATGTTTTTCTCAGTATACATGTCAAGTATCATTAGTAGGATTATTATATGCATGGACACGTGAAGTTGAAACAGGTATTATTGAATGTAAAAATGATCGAAAAGGGTTAAATACAGCTTCAAAACGTTTTACATCATTAATTCAAAAAATACCAACAGTATTATCACGTTTACAATGGAAAACACCATCACAACCAGTTTTACTTACACATAAATTACGTTTAGAAGGACTTCTTGCGGTAATATTCATATAACACTTTCATTTGTTTTTCTTTAATTGTGTACTTTTTTGTTCGTAATGAAAAGTTTGCAGCATTTTTACGTGATAATTTCGATGCGCTTTGTTCACGTCGTCGTGAAATAACACAAAAAGATTTTGATTGGCGACGATGTTTTCGAGTTTATCAACAAACATCTTCAGCAGCAGAATCAAAATCTAGTGATAGTAGTGTGATATCATCAAATATGTATAGTGAACCAGTTCGTATGCAAGTAATGGATGATGTATTTTCATATGGAAATGAATTTTATGGAATTCATCAAACATTATGTATTACACCAACAACAGAAAAATGTTTTCTTGGTATATGGCTTGCTTTATCATTTAAACGACCTGTTCTTGTACAAGGAAATGCAGCTGTAGGAAAAAAATATACAATTACGGTACTACTATTATAGCAAAAAAAAGATATTCGTTAAAAAAGAATGATTTCTTTATATATAGAGTTTCGCTCGCTTTCTTGGTCGATTTGTTGCTACATTTGAATGCTCTCAGCATGTTGATGCATCAGCTGCTTGTATGTTTATAATTGGATTAGTATCGGTTAGTTTATACTCCCCTGTAATTACTAATATCGATTTTATATTTTATATAATTTAGGATGGATGTTGGGGTATTCTTAATAATATTCATACTCTAACAATTAATGTTTTATCTCCACTTGCTGAATATATAACATTAGTTTCTGATGCTCTTCGAACAAATAATTCAGCTGCAACAATAGTTTCTGAAAGCAAAGAGGTTTGATTAATATTTGAAAAATCTTTTTGTTTATTAGTTATTTTTGAATGTATTATTAAAAAGATTCCAATTCGATTATCTGTTGGTATAATAGCAACACGTAATCCATTTGCTATTAATCCAAACACTGGCAATTATACAGTTTTATTATCTGAAATTCGATCTCGTTTTCGTATGGTTTCAATAGTTAAACCAGATGTTGATCAAGTCTTTCGTATAAAATGTTTCGAATATAATTTTAAAAATCCAAATGTTATGGCTGAAAAAATGTCACTTCTTTATGAAACAACTCGATTATATTTGTAAGTCATCATTAATTTTAATTCTTTTTTTTTAAATGAAAGCGAAATTTTCTAGACCGATTGAACAACGTTCAGTTATTTCTTTAACATCTTTTATTGATCTACTTCAATATGTAAATAGTCTAAAAAAACGTACTAGTTCAAGACCAACTAGTATGGCATCAAGTGGACAAAAAACTGATGGTAATATCATTTAATACACTTTTTTTTCTTCATAAAATTCTTACTTTTTTAATTTTATAGATGTTAAACGTTCTTTATCAATCAAAACACCTTCTTATATTGGTGCAAAATCCGATCAATTATTAATGGCTCAAGCATTTATTGATGTTATTGGTGCTCGATTGAATCCTGATGTAGAATATTCATTTATATTTTTTCGTATAAATTAAAGAAATTTTTTTTTGTTATTTCTTTTAGCATGCAAAAACTTTTCGAATATTTGTACTTGAAATACTTGTTGGACGAGATGAATCGAAAATGACAACATTAAATTCAACAAGTGTTATGCTCGATAAAATTATAAGTGATAAAGCATCTGAACATGATTTCATGCCGAAAAAACTTTGGGTTGGAAAATGTATACAAATGGTTCATGCAGCAAACGTTTCAAAAAGTTCGTTTCTTTCTCTTGCTATATACAGTTCTGGACAAAAGTAGCCGCACCCATGAAGTACTACTGTTTTTTATGGTATTGAGCTGATATTTTGAATGCATACTGACAGTAATAAACCTTGATAGCAATGGCCTATACATTCTCCATCGGTTCACATTTACTCGAGTTATGATTCAGACATCATCATCTTATTATTTTGATCACCTTATATCTCAGTCATGTTAATACAAATATTTTTTTTCTAACTCCTCATTCGAAATTCTACTGTCGTAGCTATTTCTAATCCACATTTTCCTAGAAATCACTTTAAAATTATTGAGATGTTGTCTTCTAATTAAGGATATCTTCTAAAAATCAATGTTGCTTTTTTAGTAAGATGAATCTATTCCACAATGATTTTGATAGGTTCTTTTGAAGATTTCAGTAGAAAGTTCGCATGAGACGACAAGTGTATTCTGAAAATTTTAGACCTACGGAACTGAATGAAGTTGAATTAGCTCTATGGCATGAACTTGCTATCTCAGAAAGTGCTAATTGCTAAGACCTTGGCTATGTATCACGGGCAGTAGTAGCTCTTGGAATAACAAAATAATAAACAGAAACTTTTTGAGAGTATTTTCGCTGAATATATTTTTGACAACGAAAAGAACAGGTGTAAATCATAACCCCAGTACATGTGAACTGATAGAGAACAGGTTGGTGCTGACGATCAGGATTTATTACCGTGCGCATGCATTCAAAATATCAGCTCAATATCACGAAGAATAGTAGAATTTCATGGAAATGAGTACTGTTGTCCAATACTGTATATATATATATAAATATATTGTTTTATTAAATTTAGATATGGTTTTGTGTGGGTCAACACATAGTGGTAAATCAAGCGCAGCTATGTTAATGATTGATGTATTAACACAAATGCAACAACAACAACAATTACAAACATCTGTTCAGCAACAAAAAAGTTTATCAACGTCACAAGAAACAAATTATGCACAAGAGATTTCTGCACAAACACATAAACTCTATCGGTACATTATTTTCTCCATAAAATACTTTATTAAATAAATTCGTGTTTTGTTTTTTTAGAATTAATCCATTAGCAATTGAATCTGAAAATGTTTTACTTGGTTATCATACATTAGCAAATGATTGGCAAGATGGTATTCTTACAACTATGTTACGTAAAGCTAATCGAGTAAATTTTGTTTTATTTTTAATAAATTGAAGTTTTGTTCTTTTTGAATAATTTATATAAATAGAATTGTCATACAAGTTGGATTTGTTTTGATGGAATAATAAGTCGAATATGGGCTGATTTATTACCATCAATATTAGAAAAAGAATCATCATTACAGATACGTAATGGAGATAAATTATTTTTACTTGATCAAGTTAAATTTATGTTTGAAACATTATCATTAGCTGATGCATCACCATCATTTATTGCTAACTCAGTAAATGGTTTTTTGTTTTGTTTTGTTTTTTTAATATTAGTTTTCTCTTTTTTTCTAATAGACTGTTATTTATTTCGATAAATCTGTTATTGATTGGAAAGTTATTGCAGGTGCTTGGCTTAAAGATCGACGTCAATTAGAGGTTCAAGTAAGAAAAATTTCAAATACAAAACACAAACATTATTTATTTGATGGTTCTTTTTTTTGATAGTGTCTTCGAGCTTGTTTTGATAAAGTAATGGATCCAATGATGACATTTCTTAAAGAAGAATGTTCACGGTATAATCAATAAAACAAAACAAAAAAGAATATTTCATATAATTTCAATTAAAAAATGAAAAAATGTCTTTTTTTTCTGTTTAGATCAAATTATTATTCTGAAACGAGTTTATTTTCAGTTAGTCTTCGTTTATTAGATGCTATACTACGTGATAGTACTCATGTTACAACTGATGTTCATGTTGAACGTTTTTTTATATTCAGTTTAACATTTGTTCTTAAAGCTGTACTTAATTCTGATGAACAAAAACGTTATTCAGATATATTAAAAAATTATATTACAGTTTTACCAGATGATGATAGAGAAATATCTGTTTTTGATTATTATGTGGATGAATCATGTGAATGGGATTTATGGACAGCTAAGTAAATTAATATATAAATTCAAAATTTTTATTTATAAAACAAAAACATTAAAATTTTATTATTTTTAGAGTTGATGAACTTAATGAAAATATTCAAGATCGTATTGATGTTTTTGGTAATGTACTTGTACAAACAGTTGATTTAGCTCGTGCACATTATTTTCTCAAATATGCTTCATTAGCACAAGTTAATGTTTTACTTACTGGTACAACTGGTTCATGTAAATCATTTTTATTAGATACATTTCTTAGTGGATTAGGTTTGTATTAATACGTAAAAGATAATAGATAAATAAATAAAACAATAATAAAAATTAATAACAAAAATTTAGATCAAGCACATTTTCTGGCACCACGTTTAAATTTTTCAAGGGCAACGAATTCTGTTGATTTACAAAAATTTATTGAAGCTAATGTTGTTCATCGACAAGGTTTTACATATGGTGCTCCATTAGCAAAAAAACTTTGTTTATTTATTGATGATTTACAAGCATCAACAACAAATGGATTAGAAAAATTTAAAGATGCTCCTGAAGTAATTTTTCAATTTTCTCATGAATAAAAATAAAAAATATTTAAACTTAATAGTTTCTTCGAACACTCGTTGATCATCATCTATTTATAACACAACAAAAACCATATGAAAGACGAATAATTGATGATTTTTCTATATTTGCTACAGCGACAATACCAACAACAGGTGATCAATCATTATTCACACTTCATTCTCGATTACTTGTAAATGAAATCTATCTATTCTATAAGTATAATCTTCAAAATTTTGCTGCTTTATTTTTTCTTAGCGTCATTTTGCGATAATTAATTTACCGACAGTAACTGGTTCAAGTCTACGTCAAATTCTAACAAATGTTATTGATGTAAATTTTAAAAATACTTTATCTTTTATTTTTATTTAATAATGAGTTTTAATTTAAAATTAAGATAAATATGATGGCATACGGTAAAACTCCGATAAGTCACGATATTTCATCCAAAGTCGTTGATGTTTTAACTGAAACACTTCAACGTATTCAACGTGTTCTTCAATCAAGTCCAATATTTGGACGAGAACATTATTTATTTTCATTACGTCATATTATGGTTGCAATACAAAGTTTAAGAACTATTGATGTACAAACAAGAAATCAAACAACATTTTTAGCACCTTTTCTTAAACATGAATTATATAGAATTATTCATGATCAAATTGTTCGAGAAATTGATCAATATTGGTTTACTGATACAATAAATGAAGTTTTTCGAAATGTAAAACAATTTGTTTTTTTTTTCTTTAAAGGAATTTTTTGGAAAATAATTCATATCAATTTGTTTCTTTTATATTAGGTATTCGATTTGGATAAAAATGAAGAAGATCATCTTTATTTTACATTTCCACTTGAAGGAAGAAGTTATGAACGTCCACTGAGTTCACTTATAATTAAAGAAATTAAAGTATACAAATTAATTATTTAAAATAAAAAAATAAAATTTACAGTTGATTTCATTTTAGATTCAAATTCAACCAGTTGAATCACTTAGTCAACTTCGTAAAGCAATTGATCAAGTTGCAATGCGTTATAGAGAAGAATTTGGTCATCATACATTTTTATTACCAGTTTCAGAAAATATAGCTTTACATATAATACGCATGCATCGAGTTTTGTCTCATTCATCTTTGTAAGTTGAGTTATGTATATTTAAAAAAGAATCAATATTTTAATAATTGATATATTATAGGAGTAATTTATTTGTTATTGGTACAGTTGGTTCTCATTTATCAAAATTAGTTCGATTAGCATTTTATTTAGCAGAAATTCAAGAACATACTATTGATTATTCAACAAAAAGTTTATTCTATGATAGTTTAAGAGGTGTTATTAGAACAACAGCAGTTGAAGGACGACATATTGGAATTTTACTTACAGTAGGAAATTAATAATAATCAATGAAATTTTTATTATAAAATATTTTATAATATTTAGAATAAACATTTACGTGATTCAGATATAATTGATACTATTTCATCACTATTGACAAGTTATGAATGTCCTCATCTTTTTAGTAAAGATGAACTTGATGGACTTTATCAGGTTTGTATTTGTCTTGTTGTTTTTTTCATGATAGTTCATTCTAACAGAAAAATATAACTAATGATTGAATACCATTTTATTTTATTTTGTTCACTGGAAGTTGATCTTTATGAGATTAAGAAAATTCATAAAATGTGTATTTCTATAATTTTGCAATATTAAGATTCGAGATCATCTATATTTAAATATAGATTCATTTTGTATATTTTTATAAATGATGTTTCTATATAAACAAATGTTGCTGTTAAACATTCTTTACAATAGAATGGCACAATAAAATGCATACTTCGAAATAATTAGATAGCCAATAATCTTTGTAGACATTTAAACAAGGTTCAGTAGTAAATATATTGACAGTTTTCAGTAAGATACTTGAAAAGGTACTCTGCTATCATTATAAAATAAGATCTTGGTCTAGTTTCATGCTGAAAGTTGTGCCAGTATATATGATATTGACTAGATACTCTATTGAGTACATGTCAAGTTTCTATTGAATTATATGAAAAATTTCTCAATAAGTTAGTTGATTGAAGACCCAGAAGGGTTCTGGAGTCAAGTACTAAAAAGCCTAAAATACTGAAGTACCCAAAAGTTCCTATTAGATATTCGTAACACGGCACTCTTGTGGGTACTTTAAACTAAGTACATTCATTAAGATTGCTTTAAAATGAAGATTATAATCAATAATCATCATCTTTGTCTCTATTAGTTTGAATCATCTGTATTGGGAATCAAAAGGTTTTGCCTATTATTTATTCTTGAGTGCGCATTTCGAAAAGTCCTTGTTTGTTTGATCATAGATAAATTGAGATATTCATCAGTCCTATTTGAAATCAACGTGAAAATTGATTCCTTTTTAATGGACAGTGATTATCGTCAAGTGTAATTGCATTGCATTGCATTATATGATGAATAGGTATCTCTAGAAGTTTACATATACTTGTTAAACAAGACAAATAGAAGAAAATTATGAAAATCTTTTTTATTAATTTTTTAGGCAGTAATAAATGCATATAAAAGAGATCAAAATTTGACAACAGTTGTTATAACTGATCCACGACGATATTTTCTTTCAAGAATTCGTCAACATCTTCATATTGCTATTTGTTTACCAGCACATAGTGAACTTCTTAGTCGTATATCTACGTAAGTTATCTTGTATTATTTTCAAATTCAATAAAAAAATCACTTCTATTTCTTAATTTAGTGAATATCCCGGTTTACTTAAAAATACTCAAGTATATTGGATAAAAAATTGGTCACCATCAGCTCTTTTTGTTGAAGCATCATTTTTTCTTTCATCACATGATACTCTTCTCTCAGATGATCTTCGTCAACGTTTGTCTCGTTGTTTATGTGATATACATTATTATATGTTAAATGAATCTCGTCAAATATCATTTGTTGGTACAACAGATCGAACAATAATTGTTCGTGAAAATGCACCAAATCAAAATGCTTCATTAGCAACTGGTACATTAACATCAAAAGAACCAGTTGTATCAAAAAAAGGTGCAAATAAAGAAACAAAAGAATCAAAAATGATTGATATTGAATTACCAAATTATCCATATTCACGAATGCTTTTATATGAACAAATAAAACATCATGGTGTGAGCAAATCATCATCAATATCATCATTACATACATACATTGGACCAGAAACATTTCGTCGTTTTATGCAATCATTTTGGTATTTATTTACATCAAAAGCAGCTGTTTGTGAACGGGATATAATAAGATTGAGTAAAGTTTTAAGTACATTAAATAAAACACGACAAGATGCTGACCAGATGAAAGAATATATTCAAGAATTAAAAGAAAAATGTTTAACTAGTGAAAAAGACACGGCATTACTTTTAGAAGAAGTTATTTATAAATCAATGGTTTTAGAAAAATTAAGAGCTAAACATGGATTACCTGGATCATTACCAGGTTATGTTCATCGAGAAGAAAAAGATGATTTCAGTTTACCTGAGGAAGAAAGAAAATGGCTTATAGATGGTAAAAAATGTTATTTTAATTGTTTATTTTAAGAAATTAACCTTTTTTTTTCACTTTGAACTCTAGATGAAGCAGATGAATATGAAGAAAATTTTAAACGAATGAAAGAAGAATCATTAAGATCTCGTCAAGTTAAAATGCAAGAAGAATATGAAGAATCATTACGTGAAGTTGATAAATGGCGTGAACGATTAGCATCTAAACGTAAAGAAGTTGAACTTTGGATGAATAAAGTTGATAAATCATGTATTGAAAGAATACGTGCTTTTCAAACGCCACCTGTACTTATTGGACAAATTATGGAAATGAGTAAAAGAGTTTTTTTCTTTTTCTTTTGCTTTTTATTATTATTATATTTTACATATTTATCATTAAATTTAGTTTTAACATTAATTGGTCGAAAACCTGCTGTTAGATCAGAAGGTAAAGATCAAGAAAAAGAGAGAGGTATATTTACTAATAAATTAAAAGAATTTTATTGACTTCTTTTTTTAATATGAAAGGACTAGGAAGAATGCAAGCTGAACGTCTTGATCGTCATCAATGGAAACAATATACAACATTAATGGCTGATTCAGGTAGATTTGTTGATATGTTACATGGCATAAATTGGCAAGATGGACTTAATCTTGATGTTGCTAATGGTAAATTTTAATTCATTTATCTAAGCAAATAATAAAATTTCATTATTCTTTTTTTTCTTTAGCTGTTGAATCATATATTGCAAAAGGTCGAGATGGAGTATCTGAAGGGATTTCAGGCGAAGGTTTTCTATTAGAAAATGCCAAAAGTTTGTATTTTAAATCGTTTATTTCAAAAGTAAATTCTCAATAATAAATAGATTTTCATGTTCCTGCTGTACGTGGTGCTGGTTCGCAGGAAAATCGTATAACTTTAGCTGCTGCTCGTTATGCATCTGAAGAAGCAGCAGCACTTGTTCATTATGTTATTGCTCTTATAGAATATACAAAATTATGCCAACCATTGCGTTTAGCTAAGCAAAAAGTTGAAAAACTTAAACAAGATTTATTAGAAGCTGAACAAAAACAATTAGAAAAAGAAAATGAAGTTTGTTAAAATAATTTCTTTGTGTTTTTTTATAATTAAATACAAAAAAAAACATTTGTTTTTCAATACTATAGATTCAACGTTTAAAAATGATGGAAGCAAGTCTTCATACAGATGTTAATGATAATGATCATCGTATGGTTGATATATCAAAATATACAATTGATGATTTATCGCGTTTAATAAGTGAACTTGAAGAAGCTCAAAACCGTTTTGATACTGCAGCTGTTAATAAAAGTAAATTAAAAAAAGAATACGAAAGTTGTCAAACACGTTTACAAGCTGCTGTTAATGTAACACAAAGGTAATTATATCAAATCTTACGAGAAAAAAACATCTTTTCTATAAAAATTTCTAATAAATATCAGTTTATATGACATGGATTTATTTGATATTAAAGAATTCAAGCAGTAAGAATATATATATATCCGTTATGTTAAATTTTTTAATTTTTGTTTTGCATGTTTGTTCAAGTACAGTGTTTAGTTTTTTTTATTTCTGTTTTTTTGTGATCATTTCATTATATTTTCGTATTTATAGAAGAGACCAATCGGCTCGACCGGATGATGAGAGTGTCTGGTAAAAAAAAAAAGATTTGCATGCAGTGATTCTGTTTAATCTAACAAAACACCAAAATGAAATTCGAATTTAGGATTTTCACAACACTCATTATTGAGTGTTTTGATTGAAGAAAATTCTTCCACTTATTGTCATGTTTTCCTTTTTAACTCACATTGACATGTTTCTATTAAATTGAATAAGAATTTATTATAATATTTTTCTTTAGTTTATCTGATTTGGAAGATCAATGGACAAAATGGATTGCTGAGCATTCAACACATGATCAAACTTTAACAAATTGTATATTAGCAGCGGCTTATATGGCTTATTGTTCACCGTTTGATGCGGATTTAAGAAGAATATTATGTCAAAAATTTGTTTCATTTTGTGAACAATATCAAATTCCTCGAGAAGCTGATTTAGTTTTCCAAGTATGTTCTATTAAATATACAAAAAAAAAACCAAAAGAACTCTGTTTTGTTTCTTTTAAAACAGCCAATACCAATTGATGCTATGCCGAAAACTTCTCTTGATTTTTCCTATACATTAAATAATCAATCATTGGATTCACCAGGAAATACGGCACGTAATAATAGAGTAAATTCAACACAAATAACAACACTTGCAGAATTTTTATATAATCCAATTGAATTAAAAGAATTTCAACTTCTTCGTTTGATAGCAACAGATATAATGACTGAAAATGGATGTATTATTATGGCTGATGCTGGTCTTTATGCATGGCCATTAATATGTGATGCCACATGGTATTCAATTGAATGGATTCGTTTATTTTTAAAAAATAAACAATTAATTGTTGTTCGATATCATGTAAGAATATATATATTATTTTATTTATTTTTTTGAAAATAATTTTCTTTGTTTTTGTTAATGTAAACAGCAATTACGTACTCAGTTAGAAACTGCATTATCTGAAGGACTTCATCTTTTATTAACAGATTGTGATACAAATACTGTGATGGCAAATGAAAAACTTGAAACAGTTATAAGAAACCAAGCTCGATTTTTATCAAGTGAAAAACCATTTAAATTACAAATAGGTCAACAAGAAATTGAATGTAGTCCTAAATTCAGGTTTGATAATAATTATATTTTTTTAAAACTTCATATGAATATGTCTTTATTAATAGACTTTACATGCATACCATTACTCAACCAGTTTGTATTTCGAAAGAATTAGCAGCTTATACATTAATATTATGTTTTCATGTTACATTAAATGATCTTGAGGAAATATTTTTAGGTCGATTTATGATTAAAGAAAAACCACATATTGATGCTGAACAATATGCATTATTACAGGTTTTTATGCGAGACACTTGAATTGAAAAAACAAATAAATAGTTTTCTTATTTATTGAATAGGAAAAAGTTGATACATTAAAAATTATTGATCCATTACGACAAAATATAACAAATTTTCTTGCATCAGATTCATTAAATTTATTACAAAGTGTTGAGCCAACAAAACGTTTATTGGATTTAAAAAAAGCTTATGATGAAGCAATTGAAGGGTATTTGAACTTTTGGTTTTTCTTTCGAAATTTCAAATTATATATTCTTATTATTTGATAGATCTCATCGAGTTGCAGTACAAGAAGAAAATTTATTTAAAACTCGCAATAGTTATAGAAAATTAGCTCAACGAGCAGCTACGTGTTATAATATAATGCATTATTTACGACAACTTTTACCTGAATATGTTATGCCACTTGAACACTTTATTGATTTATTCGATTCATGTATTTTTCAATCAGAAAAGTAAAAATATTTTATTTTATCTTCTTTTTTTTGTAAGATTAAAAGTTAATTCATTGTTTGCTTATAGACATTCCATGGGTGCTGTAATGACGGAAATAACTAAAACTGCATTTATAACAATTTATCGAGTATTAAATGATCGTGATCGACGTGTTTTTGCAATTTATTTTGCTATGGAAGTATGATAAGATATTTGAAATGTTTAGTTTTTATTTTTTTGATTTTCTATTTAAACATATTTAGATCGAATCATTTAATCGTCGTCAAAATCAACAATTAGATTTAAATATTCCAACTGGTGAACGTGAGTTTATTATATCACCAACATGGGCCGTTTCATTATTACAAAAGCGTGGAGCTCGTCTACCAAATGAACATCGTTTTTGGTCATATAAAAAACCATTTGATTGGATGACAGATGAAGCATATCAAAATCTTCAAGTAATATTTTACATACAGAACATATTTCAACCATGTCGAATGCATTTAGTCAACTTTTGATATTAATAATTCCTAATGAACAACATTGCAGTAGGGAACTGATTTGAGCAAATTAAAGTTGAATTGAAATATTGTTCTAAAATATGATCTAGAGAGAATTAATTCTTTCTATGGAACCAATTGGATTGATAAGAGCTGTTTGAGTTTATATTGGGCCTACAATGACGCTTTGGTGAGACTAGTAAATGTCTTAAAGGATTTGTTCCTCTTGAATCTTTGTAGTCCAGTTATAAGAGTTGTACTGAGTTTTTGACCGAGCTTTAGCTATATACCATAAAGTCAAAAGGCGAAATTTTAATGTAAAATTGTGTCCATAAATAGGCTGGATGGCCCTTAGAATATCCTGAAAGTTTCAGATGAAAATAATGTTTTTTTTTTGCCAAGATATTGAATTTTGAGATAAACTTGATTTTTGTATCATGTATGTGGCCAATGAGGAATTTTTTTTCACAAATTCGATACCTCAACGTAAAGACATTTTTGTTCGGCTGAAATTGTCAAGGTATCTTAATAGTCGTTCGACCTATCTATCGACGAAATTTCACATCGAAATTGTACTTTTTGATTTTTCAATATGTGTCTAAAGTTGGATGAAAAAATCACTAAACCGATCCTAGCTTCACTTCAAAGGCACATAGGAATGAATCCTTTTAGATTTTTTCTAGTCTTATAGAAACTTCCTTGTAGTTTTAATTTGAATCCCAACGGTGAGTATCAGTTAGGGTGGTTCTCTCGTTAGCAAAAACCTTGATAGGATGGCGATTAATTCAAATGACGACATTGTTTCTTGTTTAGTTTTTAGCTATATTTTTTGATTGGTTTTCCGATGGATTTGAACGAATGGGAAAGGAAGGTCAAGAAGCTAAATGGCGTCCATTATGTGAAGGCGAAACAGAAAACTATCCACTACCAGCACCACTTGAACAACTCGAACCAATACAAAAATTTTGTATTGTACGTGCTTTAAGAAGTGATCGATTACTTCAAGCATCAACTGTTTATGTTACAAATGTTTTTCATCAAGAGTATAATTTTTCTTTTAAATTTTCATTAATGCCAATTTGATTTGATTCGGTTTTTTTTCGTAGTTCAAATAAAACAAAATCTTTAACACAAGAACATAATCCTAATCAAACAGCATCATCATCATCACAAAATCCATCAACATCTCGATCAACGACAATACCGTAAACTTTATTTAAAATAATTATTTTACAATTAATTAAAATATTTATTATCTTTTTTAATAGAGTATCGCCAACACTTCAACAAGATGCTGATTTATTAACACGTCAAAGTGGTCAACGATCTGTTTTATTATTTTATGATGATGAACCAGATGAAGTTGTAAATTTTTTCTTATATTGTACCAGTTTAATTCAAACAGATTCATCAACAACAACACCAACATTTCAAGTTGTTAATATTTACGGTAATGGAGCAAATGAAGAACGAATATTAAAAAGAACTTTTAATAAAGCATTAACAAACGTAGGCAAATTTTATTTAATATCAAAATAATAAAATCATTCTTTTAGAATACTTGGCTTTTACTTCATTGTATTCATAATAGTCCATCATTTTTATCTTATGTTGAAACATCACTATGGGAACTTCGTTCGAAACGTTCGTCATCAACACCATCGATGCCACGTATTTGGCTCAGTATTCAACGTGCATATTCATTTCCATCTTCACTTTATAATTTATGTTTAATTGCTTATATTCGTACGCCATTATCAATGAAAGAAGCTATGACACGAGCATTTTCTTTAATTGATAATGATCTTCTTCGTCATTCAAGTAAAGTAGAATGGATACCATTGTTACATAATATATGTTATCTTCATTGTGCACTTAATCTTCGTACAAGATTCGCGCAAGCTGGTTGGGATTTACCAACATTAACATCATTTACAAATGTTGAATTAACGTCAGCTTTTCAAGTAGCTGCTAGAGAATTTGCTTTAAGTGATCAATCAATTGTACGACTTGAATCAGCTCATACAAGTAGTGCTGTATCAAATGAATTAAATATTCGACCATTATCTTGGACATCAATGCGTTATGCATTATCAGAATTAATTTATGGTGCACGAGCATTAAGCGAATATGATCAACGTGCTATTGCAAATATAGTAGATTTTTGGATTCAACCAGGATCAATTAAAAGAGATTTTGAATTTTCAAAAATAAAATATAAAATTCCATCGATATTTTTTGGACAACAACCAAAATTAAGTCAATTACAACAGGCACTTGAATCACTTTCTATTCATCAACTTGATGTACCAGAAGCATGTCATCTTCATTCAACAAATGAAACAAATCTCGGTAGAAGAATACATCTGTTTTTATTTCTTATAAAGAACATTTGTTTTTTCTTTTATTTTAATTTTTTAAAAGGTGATGATCTATTAATTATTAATCGTCTTAATCGAATAATTGATGCTTTACCAGCAAATATTTCTCTTAGTACAGCAGTTCATCAACGACCAAATACACCTGTTGAAGGTTTGCATTTTTACTTTTTTTTGTTAATTTCGTTTTAATCCTTATTTTATTTTTATTATAAAATAAAATCGTAGATGTAACAATTAATACATCTTTTTCATCTTCAAATGCATTATCAACTTCATTCAGTTCGGCAGCACTCTATTCATTTTCAACAAAAAAAACAGTTGCATTGGAAGAATATTCTGCTATGATATTAGCTTCAAAACTACCAAAAGTATTAACAAAGGTATTGTTTCTTTATTTCTTTATTTTTTCTAACTTCATTTTATGTATGAATAGGAGCAAATATTGGATCGTGCTCGTCGTAATGGTACACCGATTCAAAGTCCATTTAATGTGTGGATTATGCGTGAAACACAATTAATGACTGATCTTGTAACTCTGATTCGTACACATTTACAATCGATCAAGGTTGCTTGTGATTTAAACCAATTAGGCACACAATGGTCAGTAGAATTAGCTAATGTAGCGCATGCTTTATACTATCAACGAATACCTGATGTTTGGCGTGAAATGATGGGTCCAAGTGCACCACCACCGACTTGGGGTTTAAATAATTTCTTTCCTGACCTAATTATGCGAGCTGAACATATTGAAAAAGTACTTACTAAAGGTATGAATATTAGATTTACAAAGATTTTGTTTTTTCTTTGCTGAGCAATATGAATCATATTCTAGGTCGTGAAAAACACCCGGCTTATAATTTATCTGCATTTTTTCATTCTTCATCATTATTTGGTATATTTAAGCAAGAAGTAGCACATGCAATTAATCTTTCTGATGATGGTAATAATGGTTCTCTTATATTTCAATGTGAATTAACACCACGTGATCGTGAACATATTCGTGAACCACCTAAAGATGGTATATTTATATTTGGTCTTTATTTATGGGGTTGTAGTTCCGATAAAAATGCTGTTGAACATGGCATTTCTGATGCTCCAGCTAGAAATCGTGATGCATATTCGTCTTTACCTGTGATTCATCTAACATGTGTTTCAGCAGAAAAAGCCTCTCAACTAGTTTCACAACAACAACAAGGTGCTGATGCAACAAGTAATAGTCGATCGACAACATTGGATATTTATTCATGTCCTGTATTTTATAAACGTTCACTTGAAAGACGTACAACAGAAGTTGTTTGTGAATTAGATTTATGGAAAAAGACAACTAATACTGGTCAAGCATCACGATGGGCATGGCGAGGTGTTTGTATGACTGTTAAGCCTTATTGAGCTCGTTTTTCTTTCATACATTCATATGTTTGAGTCTCATAAAACTATCTTCAATAAATTGAGTTTTTGATGCTTGTCGCATCTCTTTATGTGTGTTTGAAAAAAATATGTTTCTTTTATTACACGATTATATATATGGTACTATGTCGATTCATCAAGTTTCAATGATACTACAAATTTATCTATTGAAATATGAATTCAATGTTTCGACTTTTTTCGAGTCATTATCAAGATATAAAGAAAAACAGAAAAATAACAATATAACATACAGGGTGTCTCACAATTATAAGACCCCCCTTTATTTTTGAGAATTTTCAGCAAAGATGAGTAGCTAGATCAAATCTAAATAGTGATTTAGATAGCCCGTGAAAATCCCTATCGAACATGGTATAGACTAAAATTTGAAAAGAAACTTTATGAAGAGAATCGTCTTGAAAAACCGTGTCACTGTAAATTCAACTTTTCGAGAAGTTTGNACTACAATACATATTTCATCTGGATGACATAAAAAAGATACTTATGTATCTGAAAGGTTGATCATAATCCACATCAGTTCCATAGATATCAGCTCATTTGTAAACTGCAATACTCTCTCAACAATAAATAAAAAGTTGTGAAACTAGTGACAGGAGATTTGCAACTGTGGTTGGATACCGACTTTGGATGGCTTCATTAAATGAATGTCAAGTTGGATTGTCTAATGTTAGCATTTATTCAATACATGCGATACTCCATCAGTATAGATATAGACAAAGAAATAGAAGAGAGCAAACTCAGAAAATAAATAAGGAATACAGAGCAACTCTAATGTTTATTAGAAACTTGATCACTAACGTAATAATATATGCACAAACCTCAAGTTGGATTTCTTTACAGGATTTCTACTGGATGTTGGGACAGTCACCTACCAAAAACAAATTAGTATATGTTCATCCTAGTTTGACCAAATGACCTCATTTTTTTCCTTATAATAGAGAAAGTTTCTAAGTTTTTATTCATATATCAATAGCTTATTAACACACTTGAAATTTAGCACCATCTGCTCCAATACAGAAATGTGGCCTTTTCTCCATCGGTAGTCAGCCACAAAAAGCACAAACAATTCCGAAAATTAGTTGACATATCATATTTTGTAAAGCTTTTTCCGCTGATTATTTTCATAGAAAAAAATTTCGTTTTTATAACAAAATGACGATGCTTGGATTAAAATACTGAACAACATCAAGTTGCTTTGGATTTTCGGAGCAGTGCAACGTTTTCCAGTATTTTGATTCTAACATTGTCATTTGTTGAGGAAAACGGAAAAGTATTTTCACCAAAATAATCAGCGAAAATAGTTCTACAAAATAGGGTATGTCGATAAGTTTTCGGAGTCCTTTGTATTTTTTTGGTTGACTGGATCAAGAAGTATTATGCTAAAAGTTAACTATAGTCGCCAGGATTTTTCGAGGATTAACTGTATGAGAACATCAAAGAGGACTCTATGAAGTCTCCAATAACACAGTTAAGCTAGTGAAAATTGAAAGATTGCAAATAAATTATTTCAAAGTTGAGAAAATTTATAAACATGACGAATATAAATTATATGATAGAATCTCAAAATCCATCATTTATTTTTAGTAAAATGTGTAAACTTTTCTCTTTTAACTAGATAATAATAGTTTTGAGTTAGGTTAATAAACCTTTTGCTGATGAATACAAACTTAGAACCTTCCTCTATCATCACGAAAAAAACAGATCGTTTAGTCAAACTAGGACAAAGCTATATAATTTTGTTTTTGGTAGGTAATTTTCCGGACACCCGGTAATAATGATATATCATTACTGTTTTATTAGTCTGATAAATCGGCTTATGAAAATGAACTTTTGATTATTCAAGCAATATGTGAACCTATGTTCATTGATATGTACAAGAACAATGAAAAGATAAATATACCAAGTACTCGTAGTATAAATTGCATTGAAGTTTACGAGTAATATATCATACCATGCAGTAAAGTCTGCACTGTCTCTCTATATACTCACTATCGACAAAAATGACAATAATATAATAGTATAAAGTAAGACATACAAAAGGGAGAAATTCCATTGAGGCGCACTTTTGATAATAAGAAATAATACGAAAGCGTAAATAATAAAAGAAGGTACCATGACATTGTAAATAATGAAAAATACTTTTTACTTGCTTCTTTTTGTTCCCCGCGTGAAACCATTTCTTGTATTAAAAAAAGCCGATTTCAAACAGAAACCAGATGATGCTACATTATGAAAAGGTTCGGAAAATGGTATTCAAATCTAGAACCCCACACGGTCTGGCATGATGTCATTTTTTATAGAGTATCGCCGTGCTGATAATTAATGGATATGGAATGCTCCAGAGATCATCAATTATTGTCTAGCAATGGGGATTTTTGTTACGCTGGAATCAAACATAACTGTCAGAAGTTGCAAAGCATGTGACTAGTGGTCATCTACCTGCTTCTCATGTTGTATTTGTAAAAGAGGTGAGTAAAAGTCAATAAAATGAAGAATAATTCTGAGACACATGCTCTGCAGCTATTTTAGTGTTATTTTAGTCTATCATATGAGAATCAGCAGCCAACTTTATGCAGCAGGTAATTTAGTATGACTCTATAGGGCTACGACCATCTTTACAAACCCAGTGCTTCATACATTCTTCCGCACATATGAAGTTAGCTGTTCTTCTCTGATTTTAAGCTTTCAGATGAAGTAAACTGTATACAACTGATATCAGCTGTTCAAACGCTACAAATCTAAATGTCTTCTGTTCGAAATGGAGACTAAAACTGAAGAACTTTGCATTGTTGAACCTTTTTGAAAAACGATTGTTAGTGAGTGTTGAAATATATGGAGAGAAAGTTGCTCTACACCTCTCAAACAGAGACAGGCAGACAGAATCGACAAAGCTTTTGAGTGTTGCAATGATCCGTGTGACTAGCCCTCTTCTGAACACATAAAACGAATCCGCTGTGCTTCATACCTTAATTTGCTAGAGATCATAATGAAAGCTTTTCGACTGCATCATTTGTGATCGCATTTTGTTAAATAGGCACTACATTATTTATTTCTTCGTGTTTTTTTAGAATCTATGCTTCACTAGATACCCATATGCAGCCTCATGACTTTTGCTTCATGATTTTTGTGCAAGTCAAAGTGCTTCGTCTATTATTGTCATACCTATTTAGTTTCGTGCTACTATTTCGATTTTGTCCTATCTATTGAAATTTTAGAACCCATGCATTAGTTCGCATTATCGTTTCTCCATCAAAATTTCAGCCTGATAACAAGATCTCAACACTCTGCGCTAGATTCTCTATCTCTAATACACATCAAAATCAACTCATTAGTTTTGAATAATTGAAGATTCGTCTTAATATTCTCTGAAGACATCTTTCTTCGTCATTTTCCGATAGGAAATACTCACATCCTGTGGTACGATTCCAAGACATTGCCGCAGTGATTCTTGTTGTACATCGGCAATATTAACACCGTTGATGAGTATTGAACCGCGATCGAGATCATAAAGTCGATGCAGCAGACGAACTATAGTCGATTTACCAGCACCTACGAAAAAAACCAACTTCTTACACTATAATAAGCTTTTAAGCCTTCAGAAGTTGACTGTCAGTTCTATATAGAGTTCATAAGTATAATACAAGCACGCTGTTCTTTGCTACCTCATATATTGGAAAGTCTAGTTACCATTAGCAGATAACTTGCTGACACTAGTCGAGAATTTCATCACCATACGCAATTGTAGAATAAAAGAGCTTTCGTAGTGCACAACCGGTATATGAAATAGCTTCTGGAAGATAATAAATATAAAAATTTGGCTGAATACTCTCATTATTCATATTGTTCATTTTTCGTTCGTACATTTTTATCATTTCAGTTGCTCAAATATTTTTGATGAAAAGATCTTGCATTCTCTGGCTAATATTTAAATTTTGTACCCTTCGATTTCGTTTTGAAAAAGAAATCAAAATATTTCATTCAAATGGATATTGAAAATTTCCATTCATCGACTATCGAGTGATTTAGTTTCAGACTGGTCATCATGCACAATATAGCCATTAGAAAGTGAACTTATCGATCTATAATACACATCATTTTCCAATAACTGTCACCTGATGTATTTTCAAGGCTGTCAGTTTCTTTATTGTTGCTTAAAAGCTCAATTGTAAGCTTAGTATGTGACATTGTCATCTGACATGAATTCAATAATTAAGACGTTTTGAGTACCAACGTTGAATAGTTGAAAATATGAAATACGATGAAGCCTTCCATTTTACAAGAAACTCTTACATGAATATGTTTATTAGGATATGAGATGATTGAGAAGATCATATCGAGTTCCGTTTCTGTCTATGCTGGAAAGAAAAGGAAGAACTAGCAAAAGTATAAAAGCAGACTTTCGATATTTGCAGTTTGATTCAAACTGTTCAAGATTTTCGATAATGTGTGTATGGTGTTGAATTTATGCAACATAAACTAAGTAGTTAAAACGTACTTGATCGACAATAGTATTATAGAATTATGTAGATTTAATACGATGAAAGAGGGTACAAAAGAATTTGACTCGGTCCATTGGATATTTTTATACTCCATACTATTCAATGATACATAGAACGAACGAACGCAACGTGTCTAACCTTTGTTTTTAGTAACGTTGATGTGCTTGAGTAGCAGCATGTCATAAGACGTCCCTGCATTCCAATTATACAAACACATTAAGTGTAAAGATTGTAAAATATATGGATAATCTGTGACGCTATTCAGAAAGATCACAAAATCATGGATCACGGTTAAAAGTGTATTGAAAACAGTTTTGACTCAGACTGGTTTGTGTACAATAAGATTGCCTTGTCAACGAATTAATTCTCTTAGAAGTCTTATACACATTGTCCTAATGTCGAATAATATATCATCACACCCACTTCTTTCTTTCATCCTTGAAACATTTATACTTTCTCGCTTCAACTTTGATTATAACTGATTATGCAAAATGAAAAGCTAATCGGAATTACGGCACCTATTGACAGTATGTTCATTTGTATTCAATTGAACTTGGCCATGAGTGAATAAGATTGACATGACTGTTAACGGTAGTATGAAATTTTCAGGTCATAAAACTGACTCTGACGACAACAATGGTCCCTTGTACTGTGTAAAAATAACAACTAACAACAGCGAAGAAGGAGAATATGACTATTGATACTATCGTAAAATCTATTTTCTGCTTCTTCTTTCCTTCTGCTTTCTCCCAAAAAGTGACACTCTAGTATCTGAATTTCGTACCCATTGAGCTAACCGTTTTCGGATCACTCTTATTCAGTACTACTCAGAGTCTACTTGTGAAATTTTTCTGGAACAATGCTATTCTGATAACGTAAATGAGCCAGCTTTTACTTATACACTTGTAGGAAAGCACTAGAATGTGCTTTATCGAAGCAAGACCACCTGCAGTAGAATTGAACTACTAGTACTGAAGGCCCTTCAATTTTCGTTAAATCTTCTCAAACAACTTGCTTAGGGCAGTTTTAAAAGGTGAGAAGCTCTTAGTAGGAAAAGTTCTATGTATAACGCTAAATCCAGGTTTTATTTGATGGGTTGAAAGTTCAAAGACACGAGTTTTCCAGGTTTTAGAAAAGCAATGTACACCTATGTTCTCCTAATGGTGAGATTTTAAGTGCAGCAAACAATATCGTTTGTAGGTTTTTCAATGTGCTATTAAACGAGATACAAATAGAGTTCAAGCGAGAATGACCACTCCGAGGAAAGATGACCATACGGTCAGTAATTGCTGTCGGTTGCGTTAAATTTTCTTTTTTTATCTTTGTGATACCCTAGTGGTCAGGTTTTTCAGGTACGGAAAACCATTTCAATTTGTAGTATTTTCAATAACATAGGCATCTAATCAGATATGGTCAAAGTTTAAACAAAAAAGTTTCAATGTTTCAAGTACCAAAGAAAGAGGTGAGTGTGGCGATGTATTATTCGACATTAGGGCAATGTGTATAAGGTTTCTCAGCGAACTAGTTCATTGACAAGGCAATCCTATTGTACAAAGGCTAGTCTGAGTCAAGTTATTTTCAATACACTTTCAACTATGGTCCATGGTTTTGTGATCTTTCTGAATAGTGACACAGATTGCTCATATATTTTACAATCTTTATGCTTACTGTGCTTGTATAATCGAAATGCAAGAATGTCGTATCAGATGCTATTAAATCACGTCAATTTTATGATAAAAATGTTTGGCATGTTGCGCTCTTTCATGTTATGTATCATAAATGGCATTGAACGTAAAGGAGTCCAATGGCTCGAGTTAAGTTCTTATGCGCACCCCTTTCTTTAAATGCCTAGAGTACGTTTTTCAACGTTCTAAGTAACGCAGCTTTCGATTTTTATGCAAAGAAATGATTATATGACAGATATCAAGGACGATGTTTTGATATTGCACAACTGTCATATGACCAATACGACAGCATGAACTGGTTAGGCTCTAGCTTTTGGTCATAACCTGGATAAGTCATACTAAATCTACTGTCATGCATAATAGATCATTAGCATCTGCCATAGAAATAATGAATGTCTACACTAGGCTTATTTTTCCATTGAACTAATGTTTCGACTAATAATAATAAATTATGAAAATAAAATAAAAGAAAGAAAATAAATATAGAGCGAACAGCAGTAAGATAAATAAAAAAAGAGCGTACGTTAAAAGACAAGAAAACAAAATCTCTGCCCAAAATTTGGAAATAAAATAGATTGTGTGTCCTGGCAATTGATTATCGCTGACAAGTAACTATCATCTTTTATAGATATTTCACATTACATATTTTGTACTAGTATAACGGAGCGAAAGAAGACACATGAACTCCATATTTCAGTCTCAAAAAAGGGCTGCGCTGACAAACTTTTTTTCTTTATCACGTCGACAAAGTGTCTGAAATTGCCATTCGTTGATGCTATTAATAGTGCTCTTGACTCAAGATCATCAGCTGAACTCTATAATGTTTCAACTACTAGTATTAGATGTCATCGCAAGATTCATCTCTGACAAGTCTAATAGGATGTTCATCGTACTTAGTTAGTACGGAAGAATCTTACTTTGTTGCTTTACTTCAATTTTTTCCCGAATTTGTTTTGCAAATCATATGTAAAATTGCCTTAAAATTGGCGAACGATTATTTCAAGTCAGAGGGTTTATCTGATACTCCTCTTAAAAAATGGCTCTATTCATTTCTTTCGAATCATGATGATGAGTGTAAGTGGGGACGTGAACAAACATTTAATGAAGAAGCTCGCTCAAGCTGGTTCGAAAAATTTGATGGTGTTATGGTCAAATGTGATCCGCTTGACGAACCTCATCAGATCTTTAATTTAGATGAAACGAAGGGTTAATACGCTATAAGGGATTGAGATCAATCACGTTTCTCTTTACAAGAGAATAGTACATAGTTGAACCTAGTCGTAGATATGCGTTTTCGAGGCTGCTGGTTGTATAGAAAAGACTACCGAACAACACTAATCTGTGTGAGCGTTGGTGATTTTGTTGTCATTCCTATGTTTCTCTATTTTGGAAAATATTTAATGGATTCATGGTGTAGAGATGAATCAGATAGACTACATTATTGGATTATAACTAAAACAGTTCTCGTTGGAAATAACTATTCTATCCATCTTGCCACATAAACTCAACGAAAGCCTAGATACAATCGTTTATCATTTCAGGTTATTTTTCTTAGAAAGTGTTTGCTTTTCTATAAAAGAATTTTGTTTTAAACATTATATAAAAGGTTCAACTTATTTTTTTTAAAGTAAAGCAATGTTTTTGTATGTTATTTAAAACAGTATTTTAATTTCTATGCTTTATGTTAACAACATTCAAATGACAGAATAAAATAAAAATGAAAGTCTTTCGCACTTGACAGTGATGAAATGTCATGTAAAATAGATCTTGTAATGCTCATACTCTGTATGCAAATAATCTTTGATCTGTGTTCCAACTTTTGCACTAACACCAACTATGGATCTCGTACTTTGTGTGACGCGAATAGTTCTTTTTCAATCATTCATTAAAAATTCATGTATTCTACATCAGGTGAACAAATCAGAAATTCAAAATAGCTTGAGCGATCGATTATAGATCAATTCTCTAGTTCGATCACAAACATCGTTCGAAGATAATAGGAAAAACTTAGTAAAGATTATATTATAGAACTATGAAAAATGTATGAAAACATAAATTGTGAGATGAGACATTGAATAGCGTTGTTTTTTGTGGAACTAAAGACATTTTGCATGTTCAATAACTTTTCTCGATGTCTCCTTGCTAATTTTCTTGAATGGTCAAATTAGGAAACAAAAAAAACTGTATTGAGCGAATTACAAAAAGCAGGAGATCAGATGAAAATGATGATTGGTTGTCGTTGTAACGACTATTCCTCATGAAGGAATAATTATTTTGAATAAAAGATGTATGAAAATATAAAGCAATATCTACTGTATCCAGAAAAACTAAAAGCTAGTTTGAACGGTCGTTGTAAAGCGAAATTATGATCTATTCTTCTACAAGATAAACATTTGTGATTGTATTTGGGTTTGACGCTCTATCATTTTCTACTCACCTGAAGGTCCAACAATGGCTAATCTTTCACCCAATTTAATTTTAAATGACAAATCTTTGATTAAAGGCTGTTTTCTATCACTTTGATTCTCGTGATAATCGAACGAAACATTTTTAAATTCGACTTCCGTCTGTTCGTTCGGACTGAGATTAAACTCCGGTGCACCTGGCTTGTCATCAACATCAATAGGTTCACGTAATAGGCACAGCATAGCTTCAGCATCCAAAATTTGTTGTTTTACATCTCGATACAGCTTGCCTAATTGATCTAGAGGTTGATATAGACTTTGCAGATACTGATACATCATCACAAAGTCAGCTAATGCCATTCGACCATGTAAAACTTCGTAGCCAGCTGCCAGTAAAGTCAGAAACGTAGCCAAACTTGTTATTAAACCCTGAACCAGTGATGTAAATCCATATACATACAGAGCACTTAATTCAGCTTTGCAATATTCTCTTGTAGATGCATCGTACCTTGCTTCTTCGTGACGTTCTGCATTGAAACATCGGACTGTTTCAAAATTAAGCAGGGCATCTAAGTAATAAAAATTGTGTAAAAAAAGGTGTGTGTGTGTGTGTGTGAGAGAGAGACTTCTTCACCACATCCACCATCTGTACTAATACCTCACATGTAGATCCACTTCGCGAAGTTAGAACTATGCATCTTCGGGCATCTAGACAAATATTCTACGATTAAACTAGAAAAGGTCATTTATGTCTGTCTTAGGATCCGGTTAAAATAATCCGGATCGCAACACAACCTAAAATATCTTGAAATACGTTTTGAAAAAGAACTCTTTATTTTTGTATTGGTGGAGCTGCTGGAACCATAACGTTTAGGAGTACTATATAGACCTTCAATCTGTCAAGTACTGAAGAAAATAGGACTTCCTATTAAATCGTTCGATGTGCCGTTAGCTGTTTTTAAAACAATATACATGGCGTTCAAATGCAAGAGGATAGAGGTTCACTAAATTCGACAGTGTTGTCGTCTTCTTCCTTCTTAGTTGTCATTTGATCGCAATATAATAATAGATTCAATCCAGTTTATTAGTGAAAGCAAATTAAAAAAAGCTTGTCAGCGCAGCCTGTTTGGGGCTGAAATGTGGAACTCACATATCTTCTTTACTTTCACTGTGCTGATGGCAAAATATATAATGTTTAAATTCTCTCAAAGACGATAATTTTTTTCTAATGATAATTGATTGTCAGCAAATCTTGTTTTTTTTTTTATTTATATACTTCGAGTAGAATTCTTTTTGTGAAGTTGCTATGGTTTGTAATGGTGGATATGTCTGTAATGTTCTCTTTCCCGTTGCTATGTGTCTGTAATGGGGTGGGGGCGCCAACCTCGAACTGAAGACTTACACTCCCTATTTTCTTCGAAAGCATACGTGAGTTCCACAAACATAACTACTAAACATTCTGCTTGATGAAAGAAAACACATTTCGATTCTCACAGGCCAGAAGTCTTGTCCACACGTAACACCTCATCTCTCGGTATACATAACGGGTTTCTCTGAATTTATTGATGGGTGGCATATAATACATTTGAAAAATATCGAAAGAGAGTTATTGCTAAGAAGAGTTAGTCCTGATCATCAACTGTCATATAGTCGTCAGTGTCATTTTTGCCTTCACTTTCAATTATTCAGGTGTACAACACTTGATATATTCTCTCTGTCCAATGGTAACGAATATAGCGGGACTTATACAAAATGTCAAACGGCGCTCGTAAAAATTATTCCTGGAAGCTGCTATTACAATGTGGGTTGTTGGGGTGTTCCTCCATGCAAATACGCATTTCGAAAACTTATTTCACTTGACTATAAGCACAGACTATCTTTAAATCAAGAATGCCAGTGGTGCTTTATTACTATCAGTACCAGTAAAGTCACTCAAAAGCGTTACTCGATAGCTTGAAAGTAATAACGCATTAGTTGCTACACTATTTGCAAGAAAACCGTAAAATACTATCTCCAGAATGTAGCGAGACCGAACCTCTGGATATCTATCTAAATGAGTTTCGATCATGACTCTGTCTTGATGGGCTTGTTTTTGATCGATCGGACTTTGTCTACTCTCATTTTTGGATAGTTTCTTTCTCGGCTTGTTTTGGGCAGAGTTCGTGGTTGTCTCAGATTGAGATATGACCGTGGCACGATTCTCGGTGGTGACACATGTCTTCATCAGGGTAAGTAGACAAATGAAAAATAGGATACATTTCAAAGAGACCTAATCACGCATAATCTTTAATGCGTGATTCGAAGGGTGTGAGGCATTTTCTTCGACCAATGCTGCAAGAAAAGATCAGTGCTTCCAAACGTCTTAGTGATGTCGAGTTATTTAACACACAGTTTAAGGAAAATTGCAGATTTCAGATAAACCAATACAGTTTATAAAATGACTGGCTCAACTTTTGGGTATATGCCTAATTCAAGTTCGAATATAGATGAAAAATTCAAAAAATACCTCAACACATATTTGCTTCTAGCTGAAGAGTTGGTTTTAGTTATTAATAGTTATAATTCGTGTATATGCATACAGAAATTCATTTAAACGAATTACAACTATGGGACGAGGACAACTAAAGCTATTCCTAACTATGTTTTCGATCGTTTGTAAAGCTCTTAGTAATAGTTACAGAAATAGAGCGGTATAACCTCCAGAGAAGCAGGAAGAATATCCTATCTTCCAGCTATCACACAATATTGAATGTTACTCAGAAGTAGCTTCATTAGCTTGATGTCTTCTCCACAACTGTTCCTAGCTGTAGTTCTGGCCAAAAGGCCAATCTGAACCACAATACTATCGCCTTATTGTATGTGTTTCCCATAAACATTGACTAATCACATATCAGCTTTCACTGCTGTTGTATGCTCATAGGTAGTCAATGTGCTATCAGATGGGCCATGCATATGCATGACATGTTATTGTTAATAGTTTTCCCAAGGTGACTTCATGACTGCTGATTTAACGGTGCAATCTCAATACGTTCGAGATATGTACCGAAAATGTAAGCACTCTAAAATAGCGCCTTTAACTTGCAGCGAGGGTCACATTATGCATCTCGTGGAAGAAAAGTTCATCTGTTATCAGTAGTCTCTATTGAACTTGATGCGAAAATAAAAATTGAGATAAACACTTGAGCGTCTTCTCCCCTTATGTACTATTCCAAACGGACGTTATGCGACCTCTTGCAAAAAATATGACTGAAAATTAGCATGATTTGTATACCCATCGAATGTTCACTATTGCTTCAAAGTCCAAAGAACAATCTGGAAAAGTTTAATACAAGACTTAACAGCTTATTTAATACATGGAAAAAGATACTGCCGATACCAATTGAATAATCACTTCGACTAGCCGGCGTCAAGAAATAAAAATAATGTGATAGAAGCGATTCTGCCGATCCGATAATCAATAGCAGTTTTCTCTTTCACATAGATGGAACCGATCTAGTTTTTTTCAGACCGGCACCGGTACCGGTCCAACCAAATCAGACCGGACCGTGCCGGCCGGTAGACCGGTAAAACTGGTCTGTCGGTTGAAGCCAGTCTATACCGGCAAAAATGACTTACCAATAATATATCCCCAGGTCAAAAATCAGACATCAAGTCTTGTACGATCAGGTGAAATCGTATAAAAAATCGTGGTCTCAGAAATCTAACATCAAATCGCACTATAAGATTCTTATAAGATCTTATTTTGATACAAGATTTTCTATAATCTTACAGTAATATCTTACAGAACAGCAAGGTCTGCCAAGAAT